TCATAATTTTTCCACTTGGAGATAATAATCATCCATGTATTATCATTCGTATTATTCTCATCATTTTATTATTTCAGGATGATTGACCCAAAACTTTTTTTGCGAGATGATCTCTTTCTTCAATTTACCCGCAAAACGAATGATCAATCAATGTGGGCGATAACGCGCTTGAATTGTTCCAATCTAATATTTTTCGTTTTAATGAAGATTTGTGGGGAAGAAATGGAAGAAAAGACACCGACCCATAATTAATTTGACGTTAAACTTGCGGATATTTTATTTACATTAATTGACGAGAAAAAGGAAAAAATTTTAGGATGGAAGCAAATTTAACAACTAACATACACAGATTTGAAAGAGGACAAAAAAATATTTCTGATTTAGAAAACACACAATAACACTCAAAAACAACACACACAATTCTGATTTACAAAAAAACACACACAAAAAGGATTTAACTAAAATCCCAATTAGATACCTATTCTTACTTAAAGACTCTTTACCTACCCCCAAATTTTAATTTATTTAATTTATAAAAAAATTATTTTTCCCCTTTTACCTTCTGATGAGCTGATAGGTAGACAAATCGCTGCACCGCGTGGATGTTGTTTTTTCTTTCTTTTTGAAAATTCCTCTGATAGTGATTCATCAACGTATTCGACAATAAAACCAGGTGGACAATGGCAGAGATAGGTAGCGTCTTCTGGCGCCCTTTCGTCACAAATGGCCTCTGGCGATGATTCGCAGTTTTTTCCAATGCAGAGTTTGTTGTTGTTGTTTTTAGTGTCAGCTAAAATTTAGAGAGAGATTGGAATTTAATTTATTGAACTTTTTTTATTTTAAATTGCTCTAAATTTTTATATTTTTCAAAAAAAATTTTTTCTAGAATTTTGTTCAAGCAAAAAAATTTTGTAATAAAAAATTTAACCCATACCCTTCTTCACACATTTTCGTCCTCTTCTTTTGCCATCACCTATATCTACATATCCTGGTCGACAATGACAACTAAAACCCACAAGTTCATCCAAGCAATCAGCGTTTGGATTACAATCATTTTGCAACGGATTTAAACATTCATTGACTACTAAAAAATTTCAAAAAATTTTTCCAAAAAAATTTTTTTCAAAAAAAAGCTTTCTCACATTTTTTACAATTACGTCCAGGTGCCTGATGAGGATTTAAGGATGTATCCAAATAGCCTTCAGGACAAAGACATTCATAACCAAAATCATTGTCAATACAACGTGCCTTTAAAAAGTAAAATAAATTCCAGAATCATTAAAAAATAAAATTTTACATCCTTATGGCAGTCATTCAAAGTTGATTCAGAACACTCATTTACTGGAACTTGAAATTTTTTAAAATTTTCCGTTATTCTTTTAAAGAAACTAACCAACACAAATACCCTTAACAGTCAAATTTCTTCCTTTTATTTCACTCTTATTTTGTCCAGAAACAACACAAATTTTTCCGTTTGAACATCCTCCTTTCCCCCCAATTTTATTTTCATCAATACCATCAAGCAATGTACACTCTTCTTTATCAGAAATATCATCATCGGATACAGGAGGTTCATCTCTAGCTAATTTATTGTTGCTACTTCTTCTAGTATTAGAACTAAAATAAAAAATTTTTTAAAATTTTCGTGCGCCCCTACAGACCTTATTTTCTCTTCCTTTTCCCCTTCACCGCCAGCTTCTCCTTCCCTCCGAAAAAGAAAAATGCCTGGATACATCATTGATAAATCTGACACAAGTCTTGAACAATTTAACCGACCACTAGCATATTCATCTGTTAAATCCACAACTTTTGAGACATTTAAATGTGGAAAGCTTTCTATTGGAAGACAAGCAGAATGGCCAGGTGCCCGGAAAAAGCCTAGACGGCAAACACATCTTTGATGGTTTTTTGGCCATTCCTCAAAATTATAATTCAATTAAAATTCTTATAACTAAAAATTAAAAACCACGCATATTTGTCCCAATTCTTCTGGGCAATTCCTCATTTTCTCTTTTGAACAAAACCTCGGCATTTCCTCAAGATTTCTTCGAAAATTACTTCCACTTCTTCTTCTTGGAATTTTAGCATCACCACAAGGAATATTTGGAGATTCCCTAATTTCATCACTAGCATCAGAACAGTCAGCCACTCCATCTTCCACAGAACTTGAATCAATACAACGAGGATTGCCACAATTACATTCAAATTGACCAAAGGATGAACAAAATTCTAAAAAAAATTTTTAATTTATTAAATTATCCCCTCTTTATTTTTCCAAAAAAATTAATTTCCCTCATTTTTAATAAATCACACTTTTCAACCCTTAACCACAAAAATAACCATTATAAATTAGAGAACATCCCACTTAAAGGTGGTTAAAAATTGGAGACTTTTTAAAGTGTATATGCAAAAAAATATACAAGTTGAAAAGAAGAGTCAAGGTCGAAAAAATATATGGGAGGTACTAAAAAGCTTTTAGTAGAAATAAAATTATAATAACGCTTAAAGGCGCAAAATTGTGTGAGACAAACGACGGCAAAAAGTTCTCCTTACCTTACGTTAAAAATAAATATTAAAAAATTGTTTTTTTTAAAGATTCACCTCAAGATCATTTACTATTTTTTAAATTAAGCATTAAATCAAAAAAAAAAAAGGAATTTTTTATTTTCGACCTTGACAAGTAATATCTATCTCCCATATACTTAAAGATGGTGGTTAGTGGCTAACAAAACAATTTTTAAATGAATTTTAAAAAACAATTTAAAATTGAAGAAAGTTTTAATTAGAAAATGATTGAGAGAGATTGAAGAATCATAAAAGAAAAAATAAATAAATAAACTCTACCAGATTTAGTTGTTAACAAAATCTTAGTTAAAAATAATAGAGTTGTTACAAACAATAGTAGCATTTTCATTGTTTGATGTTAAAAATAAATTAAACAAATAAATAAAAACATAAAATATTCATTTGAAGCTATAAAGATAATAAAGTGAAAGTTGGAGAGAAAATAGGGGAAAATTTAAAAATAAAAACTTGAAATTAAGCATGCGAAAGAATAATACATAATAATATTGTTGTACTTAGAAAAAAGAGTAGGAAAAAGCAAGTTAGATTCATTCAGGATTTTTTTCAGTAAAAATTTGCGAATAACGGCGGATTTAAATAAGTATATTTAAGTATGCAAAAATTCTGATTATTTAAGTTTGTAATTTTTAAAACTTGTTTTACAATTTGTAATTTTTCAAGTTTATTTTACAATTTAAAGTTTATTTAAAATTCTGATTTTTTAGGTTTACTAATTTCTGATTTGTAAAACAGGTTTTAAAAAATTACAAACATAAAATCAGAATTGTAATTTTTTCAAGTTTATTTTACAAATTCTGATTTTTCCAGATTATTAAAATGATTTCAAGTTTAATTTCTGATCCTTAAAATTGTAAAACAAGTCTTAAAAAATTACAAACTTAAAAAAATCAGAATTTTTGTAAAATGCATGCATGTGTTTTGGTTACATTTAATAGAGAAAATAGGCGCAAGGTGTGTAGTAGTTATAGTTGCAGGCCCAAAAACAACAAAAATGTCGATCGCAGCAAATCCCTCCCTAAGTGGAATTTATATTTATTCCTTCCCACAATTTTTCGTTCATCCCTTTTCCAACTTCCGACGATCTAATGTGAAAGTCGTCAATACTCACCAGCATTAATATAGAATTTTTGTATTTTTGTTTTGGGGGTAAACGTGGGGATAAACCACAACAATAAACAACCACAATTAAAAATAAATAAATAATCAGAAAAGAGGAAAAACAGAAGGAGAACATAACAAAAAAATTAAAATTAAATTCGTTGAATGAATGTTTTCCGGTCATATTATTAAAATAGGATTAAACAACGCTATTAGTTTTTGAAGCAAAAAATATTTTTAATAAATAAATTCTGATTTAAAGTTTTAATTTTCAAATCAGAATTGTAATTTTTTTAAATTATTTTACAATTTGTAAAGTTTATTTTAAATTCTGATTTTTAAAGTTTATTAAGAAAAGGTTTAATTTCTGATTTGTAAAACAAGTTTGTAAACTTAAAGTTTTGCTTCAAAATTTAAATAAATTTTGCGAATTAACATAAAAAAAGAAAAGAAAAATAGTAACCTCAAATACAAAAACAAATTTTTAAAGGAATATAAGAAAGGTGTTTGTATGAGGAAAAGAGAAGAAGTAATTCTCTCCCTCACCTCCTATTTGCTTTTTTAACCAACATTTCCTCAATTTTTCCCTCAAATTTTTTTTCAGATCTTTCTATTCAAGGACATATATAAACACAACAACGGGGAAAACTCTAAAAATTGTGGAAGGTTTCCAGGAAGGTTTTTTTAGTAGTTGAAGAAATGAGGGTTTTTACGAAGGTTTTTATATTTAAGGACGAAAAATAGGAAGAGAGAAAGGATATATGACAAAACAACAAAAAAGAAGGTAATGAATAATTATTAGAATAAAAGAGATATACATAGCTCGTAAAGGATATATATAGGTACTTATTTTAAGAGGTTTGGAAGTAAAATAGAAATAATAATAGAATAAAAACTTAAAAATCAATTTACAAAAAATTAATTTAAGAGAGTATTGGTTGATTTCAAAAAAATTATTCTTAAACCCGTGGAAAAAAATATTAAAGAATAATAACCCTTCGAAAATTTTTTTAGAATCCCAAACCCATAAGAAATTTATAAAAAATACCCACTTCATTTATTGCAACATAGAATTCGACATCAAACAATTTCTGCATCCAATAACCAACACAAAAAAATCAGCACCACCAATTTTTTACATTATAAATTCACATAAATATTCCATAAAATTCACGTTGTTTAGGTAAAAATAAAAAATTTAAATCTTAAAAATTAAAAGGAATTAAAAAAGCATTATGAGCTTTTAAAAATAAAAAAAAACAAACTTTTGAAAAATTTATAAGAGATTTACTCAATAAAACAGACAAAATTATTTTTCAAGAAAAATATTCACTTTCAATTCCTTTACAAAAATTAATTAAATTTGGATATTTTTTCAACGTATTAATTAAATCATCTTTTGGCATTTGCATTGTCTTTAAAATTTGAAAATAATTTTATAAAAAAATTAAAAAAAAAACCAAAATAGTGTAAAGATGACCAAACGCCAGTGCATCCAATTCTGTTGGTTGTCCGCCAATAAAATATTTTTGTTGTGATCCTAATTTCATTGACAGAGCATGGAAACTAAAAATATATTTAAAAATTAAAAATAATAAACAACAAAGGTACTCTTTGATTAAAAATAAAATGAAAATTAATCCGAGACTCAAACAGAGGGGATGGAATACGAACAAAGTACAATAAAAAATAAACCATCTATCACAAAGCTCAATAACAGTTTTTGTTGAATAATCAGCCCAACCATTTTGACTCAAATCATTATAAACTTCACGTTGTTTAAGTAAGGGTAAAAATAAATTTAATGGCCAATTGTAAACACTCGAATATCTTAAAAAATTTAATTGGAATTTTTGTTTGATTCGGTTAAAAAAATATTGAAGCAAAAAATATTTTTTAACCTTCCACTAGTAACTTTATCATAACACTCTTCATCCAACCAAGAAATATATTTCTATAAAAAATGTAAAAGAAATGAGGTAACACAAATAAACCTCAGCATTCCGTAAAGTTTCTTCTATTAATGCACAATATGCTTGAATGTCAGATTGTTCAGAAGCTGTTAAGGAATCGGATAGTTTAATACCCTAAAAGAAATTAATTTTAAAAAATAATTTTAAATAACCTTTTTGCCAACAAAATCAACAATTGGAGAAAATTCAGCAGTTAAAGAATTTTTTACTCTTAAAAATGGAACCTCTCCTTAAATAAGAAATTGAAGAAATTTAAAATAAATTCTAAATTAACCTGTTGGCGACATAAAATAAGCATTTTGTCTTTGTTCCAATTTATATGGAAGATTTGCCATTTTTAGAAAGACACGGACTGCAAGCGTATCGGCAAATTGATCCATCATTGCTTGCTCAGCTACAAAAAAAAATTTTTTAATTTAAAAATAGGGTATCACCCAGACCCATGTGTCAAGAAAGTTTGCCGAGAAGGGCAAATCGTTTGTTGTGACGAATGTTCCCGTAAAACCAGGTGACCCTATTCAAAAATATAAAAATTATAAACCTTGTAAAGGAGAAAATAAAACAGCATCAGACCATTCTTCATTCATAACAGGTAATGTATCAATTATATGATTTAACAATGCCATTTGTTTAAGATTATAAAAGAATATTAAGAATATGAGACAGAAAATATAAAATGTTTAAGATAAACTAATGCTTCTTGAATAGAATAATAAAATAAAAATATTTATTTCTAAAAATTTAACAACAAAAAAAACCAAAGTGCGTCGTAATACCAAACGCTGAAATACAAAAAACCCCAAAAGCGCACCAAAAATTACACAGTGTTTTTAGAGGTTTGGTATTCCGGTGTGTAACATTTACGGCATCCTAACAAGAAAAAAAACAATTAAAAACCCCTTATTGATTCTTTTCCAATATTCTTCTTTTCCTTATCCTTTTAATAGTTTTTGGTAAACATTCACTTTCCAATTGTGCTAAAGCTTTTTTGTATTGTTTAATTGCTTCTTCGTCTTCTACTTTGAAATTATTTAATTCTTCAACATTTTTCCACAAATTATGGCCAGATAATTGCTTCTTGAGTCTCATTTTCTGTTAAATAGAATTTTTAGACAAAATTAGGTATTTGTACGGGAGCGCTTCCGTACGGGACTTTAAGGAATCCAACTTAAAGTTTACGGGACTTTAAGTAATCACCGAGTTTTCAGCGGTAACCGGGATTACTTAAAGGAATTTATCCCATTAGGGGATCCTGTGAGCTTTTTTGTCTCGAAATCCAATCCGAAGAAAATTTAGAAAATCCTAAGCCTGGACTTTTATCGATTAAAAAAATTCCCCAACAAAATTTAAAAATAAACCTCATCTTTAGTAAACAAAGAAAGTAACAATCCTCCCTTCATAGCTCGAGCAGTTCTTCCCGCACGATGAATAAAAATACGTTCATTTATAGGTACATCATAATTTATTACACAATCAACATCTTGAACATCAACACCACGAGAAAACTGATCACAAGCAATTAATATACGAATCTAAAAAAGGGTAGAATAAGAAAAAATTAAAAAAACCTTTCCATTCCTAAAACTTTTAATCAATTTTAAAAGACGATATCTGTGTAAATTTGAACTTAATTCAGCTAATTTGAACAAATTTGACGAGTTTAGTTTATGTAGTAAATAGGAAAGCCGATAGCTAGTTTGTCTAAAATTTTAAATAATTTTATTAGTTCAAATAAAAATCGCGAGCGTCTTGCGACAGTTGCTAAGCGACAAATCCACATAAAACAAGCGTATTCAGTTAGCAAAATAAAAATTGCAAAACGACAAAACACTTGTTTTATGTGGACACACATCATCGTCTGTCGCTAGCATCATGTCGTAAGATGTTCTTGATTTCTATGTGAACGTAGCATTATAAATAAATAACCCAACAAACTTTTTATTAACAAAAACAATTATTTTATTCCATTCATTTATGTGTAATTTAATTTGTTGAAAGAGAATGAGAGGTTTCAATTTTTGATCACAAATTAACTAAAAAAATGTTATAATTAAAAAATAGAAACCAAAAAAATCCCATAAATATCTCTTTTCAATCCAGAAGAGATGCACGAATAACACTAATCCCCGACCGTTTCCCTTTTAATCCTCCAAATTGACATGGCCAGAGAACCGGATTTTCATTTAAACCCGATCCGAAACGCGATCCCATGTCTTTTTTAAAAACTCGACTCAAAATCTGACCCGACCTTTTTTCTCAACCTGTTAAATTCCCGATCCAAATCCCTCAATTTATTTACAAATAAACTCACAATTTTATGATTTAAACACTCCGGCAATAAAATACTCATTTGATCACTTTCTCCATTTTGTTGTTCTTGATTAATTTCCTCCTCCACTTCCTTATCTGTAGCCAAAAAAAGTTGAGGGCAACGAAGATTCCAAATATATAATTTGTTGACATCTAATAAAAGTGTTGCAGAAACCAAAATTTTTTGAAGATGACAATTTTGTTTAAAATTATTGGTCAATGAAGAAATTGATAAATTGTTTGTTGAAGCTATTGAGGCTAGAAAAAAAAAGTTCAAAAATTCAGAAAAAATTTTCAAACCACAAGAAAGTCTTTCAATAACATCAAGCCATTCAATTCTAGCTGTATCTTGCATTTTATCAGCCTCATCAATAACCAAAAATCGAAGCATAGACAAATTGATAAAATTTCCATCATTATCCATTAAATGGTCCAATAGCCTTAAATAAACAATGTTTAAAAAATTCAAAAAAATTTTCAAACCTTCCAGGAGTTGCAATAATTAAATGTGCTTGACTTATACAAGAATTATTAGGAAATAGCACAGATCTGAAATTAAACAAGTTTAAAAATTAGTTTAAAATCTGTTTCCTTTCCGTCATATGCCCACAAATAGTTTGCTGTCTATTTTAGACCAAAGAGATATTGAATACAACACCGGGTAAAGAAGATGCGAGCATGTAACGAAAAGGTAGTTTAAAATCTTATCCAAACCTTTCATGAAAATAAGTTGTATTTCCATACAAAGCAACTATTTTTGCATTGAATACGTTAAACTTTTCAAATTCCTAAAAGAAAAACTTGAAAATCTAACAAAACTCAAAAATCACAAAACCTTAAATATTTGTTCAGCCAAAGAAGCTGACGGAGCAATAATTAAAGCATAAACTGCTGAAGCATCCTCAACAAAACAAATATTATTTAATATTGGTAGAACATAACAAAGTGTTTTACCACTACCTAAAGATTAAAAAAATTTTTCCAAAATTTGGCTCTTGTGTAGTTTGCCTCCCACAAGCCACGCCCATTTATTCGTACAATTCCTCTCCCATAAAGTGACATTTGGAATGGGATTCTAGAAAAAGGGTCAGATCTTATGGGATATACAAATAACTCAACTACACAAATTAAAATCTAAAAATAACCTAACCAGTTGGAGAACAAATAACAACATCTCTAGCCGGCAAAAATCCATTTTTATTGTTTAATAAAATTGGAAGAACTGTTGACTGGACAGGAAAACATACATTTGTATATGTATTTAATTTATTGACAAATTCTTGTTTTAAACCAAATTTAAGAAGATCATCCAAAGGTAATAAATTGACAGAATTATCAAGCATTTTTGCACAAAATTTGTGAGCATTTGCTATCCAAGGTTCAGTAAATTTGCTTCAAAAAAAATTAAAAAACGGCAAAACGAACGTATAGGGAAAAGCAAGGTTTTTCACTAGTATCCGGGGTTTCCCCGGTATAGGTACTGGAAAACGGAGGGAACGTAAAAAGTGAACCAGAAAATCAAAAATTAGTACTTTGCTTTCTTCTCCAACACAGGTTGTTCATCAACTTGTCCAATAACTTTGTACAAATTTTCAGATAAATCTTCTTCATCATTCCCATCCAATTCCTTCAAATTAATATTTAATTCCCTCTTTAATTTATTTTTAATTTGTTTTGTTTTGAATGAAGATTCTGAAGAAGTTGATTCGCATGAAGACAATTCTCTTAAATTTAAAAGAAAATTTAGAAAAAAAATTTAAAAAAATACTGATCCAAATCGACAAAGTCCTCGCCACTTGAAGACATTAGCAAATTAAAAAAATAAATTTAAACTTAAAAAACTGATAAAAAGATAAAAATAAGACGGAAATTTTTGAAAAAATCACAAAGATCTTGACATTTTAAATGTTGACATTATGACATTCCATTTTTCGTTGTTTCCATTATGACATTTAACAAATCAACAAATATTTCATTTTGTCAACTTTCATAACGAAAAAATTTTCTCTAACCTTTTCCTCTTTCTCTGCATTGCGATCTCTCTTGTTATTCATTTTATCGATTAGACAAAAACCATCTATCTCCGCTTAAAAAGAAACGGGCAGACATAACGAAATATAATGTAAACATAGGATGCGTCAGAGGCATTTTTAAGTTTACCATATTCTGCCAAACCCATATTCTGCCAATAAGGCTAAAAAACATGTTTTGCCAATATTTGTTGACAAAACGCGGGATTTTAGCCTTATTGGCAAAATGTGGATTTGGTATGATATGAGGGAGCCAATTTTTAAGAGTCAGATCAGTTTTTAGCAAACCGTTGAACGTTAAACATATTTTCTTTGTTTTTTAGATAAAAATGAATAGTTTAAAAAATAATTCATCGATCCACCACCATGAATCTGCTTCTCGGAGAAAATTTACGCCAATACAACAGAAAAAAGGAGGACACGAACATGGCGTTAGACAATTAAATGGTTTATTTTTGAAAAAATAAAAAAATAATTTTAATTTTACAGGTCATATTAATGGTACTAGAACCGACATGAAGACAAATAAAAAGAATGATAAAATATCTGACGGAAAAGGTTTTTAAAAATAATTTTTTTTTGAAAAATTGGGCCCAGACTTTTCGGAATTTGGTGTTTAAGTGAAAAAACGGAATATTGGCTTATTAGGCGCGGGGAATTTTGGACGTCTGAGTGAATTTGGGGGATTTAGAACCAACTGAATTGTGTCCCCTGGAGACCAAAATTCCTTAAAAGTTGGAGACCAGCTTTCAAGCCCTTTAAATTTCTGTACTCCTAAAATTTTTTTTATTTTTTAGACACAACATCAATTCTTACCAAACGGAGAAGATTTGGAAGAGAAAATTGTGATGATATACATTTTGTGGAGAATAAAAACAACAAATTGCCAAAGCAAGAAATTAAAGAAGAAATTAAAAATGTTGTTGAGACACCTCCAACAAATTCAAAAAAAGACCAAAATAATTTCCCAAAAGTTTTTTCGTCACTTCCAACATCTTCAAAACATTTGGACAAAAATTCTTCTTCTTCAACTTCAAGATATTTTACTGCTCTTCGAAAAAATTCAAAACAACAGAATAAATCTGTTTATTTTGCTGATCAAAATAAAATGGAACCTTGGGTTAAACGAAAATTTTATATTGTTGAAAATGGTTGGTATTTTTGCTTCTCTCCAAATTATTTTTTTAATTTTTTTCAGCTGGTATTCCAACAGAAATTTATTGCACCGACTTTATTCGCAAAATAAAACATCAAGGAGAAAATAGTCACCACCATAAATTAGACGATTTACATCACAATAATAATTCGAATACTTTACTTAGAATTACAGACAAATGGAGAGAAGAATGGAGTACTAACGGAGTTCAAATGCCTTTGGGTTACAGACAAGAAAAATATCAATTTGAAAATACTAATATTCTTTTGGATGATGTTGAGGATGAAGTGGGGACTGATAAAAAGAGTGGTGACAAGAACCCTTTTACTCTGTAAATTTTTTTTCTTAAAATTTCAAAAACTATTTTTCTAGTCCAAAGAGAATGATAGCAACATATCCGTCAAAATATGTAAAAGAATTTTCAAAAGATTACCAACTCATTCCAAGACCTAATAATGAACAAGTTCAACTTGATTATAAGCCTTTAAGACTCATGCGACTGGATTATGAAAAGGTTTTTTTTAATTTTCTAAAGGAAGATCCATTTAAAATACTTTCCATTTTTAGTCTCGCAATCTTTGCTACATGATAACAAGAAGAGAAAAGTTGAAGAAAACGGCTTTGGAATTATTCCATGAACAATTTAATATGGCTGCTTCAAACATTTTTTGCAAAAATTCTGTTGTCCCAATTAGTAAAAGACAAATGGATAAATTACTTGATGAAATGAAGAATTCGGTGGAGTTTGCACCTTCAACATCAACATCTCAAGAATAGTATAGCCAACTTTTTAATTTATTTTGAGAATTGTTAGCCCCTCTTGAATCTCCCTTCCCCTTCGGTTCCCCATCTAGTAGGCTTCTCTAAAAATGTTTTTCAGCAAAAATTTCTGTTCAAAAATTTTTTCTTAGAGCAGCCTCGTTTTCTCTCCCACTCTTGTTTATCAATGTTTTTTCTGTTCCAAAAATATCTTTGTCAAAAAATTTTAACTTATATATATATGTGAACTCAGGAATTTTACTTTTGTTATAAAAATTAAAAAAAATTTCCGAAAAATTTTTTGTTTCAATTTAAAAATACATTTGAATGTTGAACTTGGTATAATTACATTTTTTATTGTAGATAACTAGGGGAAGAAGTAGATTATAATGTACATTTTTTAGAAATAGTGACCAGGTATGAAAATTGAGGTAAAAACCAAGTAGGCTCTACTTTAAGACAGTGTCCCATGAGCGTAGCGAACGCGCCCAAAAATATGAGTATTTAAATTCTCCTGTTAAACACATGGGACAGTGGTCCTAAACTTGAGCCACCAAATACCCACAAGGTAAAGTCCAAGTTATATCCACTTACAATTTTCTTCCAGTCACTTTTCAGGGACAGAGTCATTTACAGTTTAAAAAGAGAGAATTTAAGTCTAAAATAACTTGTAAGACTAAAAAAATAGCTAAATAATTAAAAAAAAGAATGTCTCTTCAAATATATAATGAAGAGTTTTTTGTTTGTTGTATTTTTTAAACAGTAGAACATCCTCTTAACACAGGATGAGATGAAAAGCAGGGATGAAGCTGACACACTTTTCGAGCATTTTGTTGCAGCATAATATTTTCATTGTTTTTTTAGTTCACTCAATGTTATATAAGCGATTAAACGGGTAAAATATAGTAAAAATAAAAATGGAGAGAAATGAAAATAAAATATGATGAGATCGGATACAAAAATGTTTTTAAAAAAAGAAAATATGAAAACAAAAAATTGGCTGAATGCTGAAAAAATATTTTTTAAGATATTTAACATAAAACGAGAAAAGATGATTTTAAGTTGGGGTCTAACTATAAATAAAGAAAAAATGTAGTCTAAAAACCGGTACAATCAAAGCTATCTTTTAAAAGACAATTTGAATTTATTTTTGAGTGAAGTGAGAAGAGTGAAGGCGTGGGTTCGAGGGTTTCCTTGGAATTAAGACTTACTCCCAAGCCAGACTGGAGAGAAGAGGATTGAAACCTTCCAAAAATTCTTGGGGGTGAGCGGAACCAAAAAAATCTTCCTTCCTCGCACAGAAAGGAAAAAACACGTTCAAATTGTCTCCGAATACATTATACAATTCTAATATAAGTGACGAGTCATTCTTTATAAAGGCTTAAAACTCTCGAAAAAAAATGTTAAATATTTTTAACAATTTTTGTCCGATAGTTATTGATCTGAGAGTTTTAAGCAACATTCTTTCAAGTTAAAAAAGGACACAAAAATATCTAGGTAGGTCAACAAGTCGAAAAAATATTTTTTAAAAAGAAGAGGTACCTGATTCGTAAAGAAAAGATCCTGTTAGATAAAAAGAGTTAAAAAACAGAAAATAATTAAGGGGAAGTCTTGACTAAATATGTTTAAAAAAAATGGAAAGAAAAAATTTACAATGAAAAACTTTAAAAAAATTAATAAAATAAATGAGCACACTAACAATTTTAAACAAGGCGCGGATACATTATTTACTCTAAAACATGCGCAATAAATTGTGGTTTAAATTGGTTGAAATATAAGGTATGTAGAGGGAAAAATTCAGAAGGTTGTCTGTAAATTCTGATTTTTATTTTCCGAAAATTCTGATTTCTTTCCCAAAAAATTCTGATTTTTCTTTCTCTTCTAAATTCTGATTTTAAAAAGATATTAATCATTATACATATTTCAACCAAATTATATTATGGGAAACAAAAAGATGTGTCAAAATTAATACGAGGCACTCATGTAGGTAGAAAGAATAAAAGAGAAAAACAACAAAAAAATTAGACAAAGTGCCAAGAAATTTTTTGCTATTTTTAATGCGCAATGGGGGAAAGGAAAATAATATAATAATGGGTTTTTAATCAACGAGAATTATTTTTTAAAAAAAGATGGCGTCCCGTAAACAAAAAATAAAAGAATATTAAAAAAAAGTTTTTAAAGTAATTTATGTGTACGTAAAATGTACATAAATATATTAAATTAAAAGGATATAATTAGAGACCAGTTAAAATATTCTTTAAAGTTTTGAAAATTAAATTCTGATTTTTAAAGTTGCAAATTGTAGAAAATTCTGATTTTTTACTTGAAAGGACAAATTCTGATTTGTAAAATTGTAAAAAAAATTCTGATCTTTAAATTCTGATTTGTAAACTTTATAAAAATTCAGATTTTTAAAGTTTGCAAAATTTCTGATTCCTAAATTCTGATTTGTAAAAGGTTGGTATGCTTAAGTTTTTAAGTTTTACCAGTCTCTAATTATATTTCAAGTTTGTAAAACTTGCTTCAAAACAAAATTGTAAATTAAACAAAATCAAAGTTTTTCTTGCTACAACTACTATTTAAAAAAAATAAAATAAGTAGCATGATCATAAAACAATCAAAAGAACTGTGGCGAGGATTGAAACAATAAAATGTATATATAATTGCAAAAAAAAATAAAATTAATAATAAAATAATAATTAAAACACAACATGTAAAATTAAAAAAAAATAAATTGATTGTAAAAGCAAAAATAAAATTTAAAAAAATTTTTTTAAATGAATATTTTGTCAAAAAAAAGTGGGAACCCGGTAAAGCGAAAAAAAATAATAAAATAAGCGAGAACAATATATAATTGTTTT